AATGGCATGATAATTTAAAGTGTAAAAAATATTCATTTAAACATTAGACAAAAATAGGTGTCTATCATGGAGCCACCCACTGAAGTTACCATAATATGTGGGTTACATAACTGGTAACAAAACTTAAGATCTTAGAGACTCTCATGACTATGTTTTGGGAACTATTAAATTTGATTTTAAAAGTCCTTTCCATAAAAATATAATATTTAGAGAGTAACAAAAGAAATCAGGCTGAGTCGTGGTATGAGCCTTTCAGTATCTTTATTTAAAATATACAGATGTTCTATAGCGTAATAGTGAAATGTAAGTATTAAGTTCTTCCAATTGAATTTTGTGTAATTGATATATAGATAAGGCATATTTTACTGAAAGTTGTATTTACAAATTGACCTGTGTACAAGCTATTGTGATTGTAACTTATCACTAAAATATTTCTGACAAATTACAAATACTATAACATTCAAATATATTAAATATAAGTTATTTTATGTAAATATAATTTAAATAAATGCACAAAGAATGCTTTAAGTTGCTTTGGTCAAAAATTAAAGTGTTTTTAATGAACAAATATAGTAATAGCTCACATCATACTACTCTCCATGACAAGTGGTTAACTCCAAAAGGATGATGTATATGGTCAACTTTCTACAACAACCATAATTGTGACCTATGGTTATATGGTAAAATTTCTACAACAACCATAATTGTGACCTATGGGTATATGGTAAAATTTCTACAACAACCATAATTGTGACCTATGGGTATATGGTAAAATTTCTACAACAACCATAATTGTGACCTATGGGTATATGGTAAAATTTCTACAACAACCATAATTGTGACCTATGGGTTATATGGTAAAATTTCTACAACAACCATAATTGTGACCTATGGTTATATGGTCAACTTTCTACAACAACCATAATTGTGACCTATGGTTATATGGTAAAATTTCTACAACAACCATAATTGTGACCTATGGGTATTACAAATGTATGTGAACAACTTTGGTTTTTCTTTACACATATACTTGTATGCTAAAGATCCCATTTTGTACTAGTGTATCTTTCCTCTCATTCCTGCTTTGATGTACATGAATGAGACAGAAGAATTAAATTTAATATTCTTGTGTGAATTTCTTACTAAATATGGGTTTTACTGTATGATTATAAACTACTTAATAAGTTATGTAAAATACTGTGTTAAAATCATTAAATCAGTTTCTTCTGGTGTGTCTCGTTGTATGTACTAAATAGCATTGTAGGCATTTAGCAAAATATTAATGTGTAATTCAGGCAACTTTATGAAACCTATAAAATATTACATTTTTATATATGTATCACTTTGTGTAATACAAATAAAAATGGAGACTGATTTTTTTATTATAATAATCCTCTGTAGGAAACCAAAGCTCCCACCAAACTCAATTTACTTACCTGCCAAGTAAAAGTATGTAAAGTTTTATTTATTTTTTTACATTCTATGGTTGTTGATGTAACATATTTGTGAACTAAAATGTCATATTTCACTTTGTAGTAAAGTTATCATTGTAGGTAACTAGTAGAAACTGAGTTTAACAATGTAACATTTTCTACTGTATCTGAAAGGCCTGATATTATGCAACACTGATATGTGTGTATGGACGACCTTAAATAGTACAGAGGTTGAGTGTGTTATATTAAAAAGATTTTGGACCCTAGTCATGAAACTAAGGTTCTTGTCTCCATGATCATTCATGCTCTAATCGTTGATTCTGTCATGTGATTATATCAGTGGTTTCCAAACTGGGTATCATGGCAAGTTGCTAAGGGTGTCGTGAGAGTTTCACCAAATGAAGAATAATTAAGAACATTAAAAAAAAACTACAAAAAATATTGCATGTTGCAGCAGGAATATTGCACAAATCAAGGTAAGTGGGTTAGGGTGTTGTCAGTGAAAAAAAGTTTGAAAACCACTGTATCTTTCGGTTATATATCTGCATTGAAATCATCATAAAAAAAAATCCCTTAATAAGGGACACATAGTGCATTCACTGTAGTTTTTGTAATGCTGAAGTTGTATGAATTATTTAACTTATACAGTTATCAACTGACCTTTTCCAGGGGATTTATTTCTTGTTTTTCCCTGAACTATCTTTATTAAAATTTAGACGTTGCTATAATATAAATAAGTTGACTATATTAAATGAAAACGATTTTGAGCATCCAGTCATGCTCTGTTATGTCATTCTCCAGCTGCTTTAGGTTTGTGGTAGTTAAATGGGTGGCATGAGTGGGAGCCTATCTTTGTGAACCCATACCCTTTTGACCACAATTCCATACAAAGCTGGAATACCTTTGTGGTACATAAGGTACACAAAATTGGTCTGACATGTTATCTACCACCTTGGAAATTGTTTTGACTCACTGACCGGCAGGAAATGGCATAAGAGCTGTTACAGTTATCAAGGTACACATACACTTTGTTGATTGTCACTAAGTACTAACATTTTACCTTGGCTGTATTCCAGACTCATACAATTTTCTATGCTTGGTCTACCTGTCCTGTATATATTGCTATTAAAAACAACTTGTGTCATTTTTCCAAAAGAAAATACTTCTTGATTATATTGTGCACTGTTGCTTGAGGCATGTGGACATCTTATTTTGTAATTGACCTATGTGTTCATGAATTCTCACCTGTTACAAAATGCTTCATTTGAATTACCACATTTGGGGTATGACTTGTTGCAATTCTCTTTATGAATTGTCCTGGTGCCCCAAATTAATCCATATTCCTTTGTTATCCAATTTTATTAGGTACAATGGATATCCACATCTTGGAAATTTCTAAATCCCCAATTTGAAGACATCTTTATGATCTGAGTGTACAAATATTTCATGCTAGAAAAACTGTTATATACCCATCTCAAAAGTGATCAGTTTTCAGTGGCATTACATTGCCTATGAAATGTCAAAGTGTAGTTCTAATACATGCCACTCCAACATGACTTTACGCCAATTGTGGTTTTCTTATAACTTGCAGATTTGCATATTCAAAATTTTGTTAGTATAACTTCCTTAACCCTATGTATATATTGATATTAAGTATTTAACTTTTATCTTTTGCTGCTCAACAGCAACCTGTCAGTAGATATTCATGCAAAATGAAAATCTTATTATTGAACTAACATAAGAAAAAATTATGTGTGCCTTTATTATAATGTAAATGTAATTTGTTTGATCGGTGTAAAGTACAATTTATGGAATTTTAGTACTAAATCAGCTCATCCTTTGACACTAATATCTCCTTTTTATTTTCTTAATCTAATTTTATTATTGTCATAT